CTTTTTTTTTTTTTTTTTTTTTTTTAGGTAAACCTTTGTAATTCTCTATTTCTCATCACGTCATATTTTTATTGGAAAATGTATTGTAATTAAATACATGCACAAACACAATCATGCCTTAACTGATCAAATGAGTATTGGTAAAAGAGATTTTACCATTTTTATTGGTCTTCCAGGTATGTACGTAGATTTCAAATTAGCTATAATCCTAAAGGAGAATCATTTGACATCAATAATCAACGGCTCTTAATGCATTCTAGGAATAAATACAAGAGCACATTTGCAAATCAAATGACAAAATGACATCAAGGGAAGTGCACAATAATTAGCAAATTCCCAGAATAGACAATACAGGTGAAAACCCCCTTTGATCTTCAAGCCATTATCATTTACTTTGCCAAGCTCAGATATAAGTATTAGAGATTTTAATAATAGTGATGCTGAATATTTCTCTTTCATCTGGGTGGTATTCAAAGAGTACAAGTTTTGTCTTTCTGTTAGAGGCACATGTCTGATGATAGTGTCTGGGAGATGCACCAGATGACCCTTCTGGACAGACTGATAGTTGTCATCTTCTCATCTGCTGGGAATGAAGTCATGAGAGAAAACTGTAGTCAAAACTTTGTGTGGCCTGGGGCCAATGTGTGCAGACAAACCAGACACCCAGTTGTGATTCCAGAATTTTCTTTTCTCAAAAACAAATAAAAAAATTCAATTACACTTCTTTTTCCAATATAAAAAATTCACTATAGGGTGGAGATCATTAAAATGACTAAAGATATGTTTTAAAATGATAATTCATCTTAATTTGTGGCCAAAATTTTTAGAAGTTGATAAGTGAGTATAGAAGCATCTGATTGTATGTAAAGCATTGAACAACATTCCTGCCAACAGCCATCAATCAGGCAACTGACATTGAAACTTGGCAAAAAGATCTGCCAGCTGCTTTTTCCCTTGTATAAATAGACAAGTTTATTCTGAGGTCAGAGATCAGGCTCATATCCATCACTTTTCAAATTTCTCTTTTCTTGTCTAATGCATGCATGTACGCACACTCACCCTCTCTCTCTCTCTTTCTCTCTCTCTCTATCTATCTCTCTCTCTCTCTCTCTCTCAATGACTCTCTTACTCACTTGCACAAACACACACACTCTCTTTCGCCCTGTTCTTTCTGGATCTTTCACTCTCTCTGTCACACAAACTCACTACTACTCTCTCTCTCTGTGCATGTAAGTCTCTCTCTCTCTCTCTCTCTCTCTCTCTCTCTCTCTCTCTCTCACACACACACACACACACACACACACACACACACACATTCATAACGCAGCTGCTCCTTTGCTAGAATAATACTCCATTAGATGGACAGCATTTGACAAGGGAATGTGGATGCAAGGCATAACTCAATCTGATAAAAATGCCAAGCATACCCAGCTTACGGGGAGATACCATCAGGGGAGGAAATGTAGTTGTGTGTCTCTCCATCAAAATGAATATAATAAGCACACACCATCAAACCTGACATGACAGTAAGTGGATTCTTGGTGACAAATTTTGAACAGAAATTTTGACAGAAAAAAATTCAGTGGCTAAAAAGTAACCCATTTGAAAAATAAGTTACTCCAATTCTAGCACACTGAAAATCTGCAGTGTGAGTTGGTAAAAAGCCCAGCTTCTTTCTGTCAGTTTTATCAAGCAAAACAAATTTGATTCTCACAGTGATTTAGCTGAGTGCCTCCTCCTGTTAGAAATAGCATCTTGTTTTGTTAGAGGCTCTGAACAGATTGAGTTCTCAATACAAATAAACTCTGAGAACAGCAGGTGTAAAGTATGGCTGGTTACGCGGCTATATGTGCCAAAATAGAAAAAAATAATCGCTGCCTTAAGCAGAATGGTTGCAGTGTATACACATTATATTCCTTCAAGTCTTTCTCTTTCATTTCCCATGTACATCACTTTATTTGCCTCCTTTTTTAATTTTTACCAAAATTATGATTTCAACATTTAAAATCTCAGAATATTCTAAAAGTTACATATTTAGATCAACAGACTGGGTGATACTTACTTAATAAAATTTAATGTGGACTTCTCTAATCCAGATTTTTGCCTGAAAAATACAAAAAACCAAAAAATTAGGATTAATCAAAACATGCATTTTATCATGATATTCATCAAGACAGGTCAGCATGCTATCAAGTGCTGCCACCTGGTGAGCCAGGGCCTGGCAACAGCATGGCAAACATGCAATCCACATTCAGGGCACCCCCACCCCGTGGCTCTCATATAATGCTGACCAAAACATAGCATTAACCTGGTTGCCCTGCACAGTGTTGTGGGCAGGTATGAATACAGGGCATAATCATCTCCCTTTGTATTATGACAGCTGTATATTACTCTTATCAATGCAGCACATTATGTGGTGGAGAGAAGGAAAGGCTGTGTCAGTGAGAGGTGGTGCATAGCTGGCAGAGGGGGTGGGGGATGTTCCATGCTGTAATAATGTTCTATGCTGTAATAACCCTGCCCATTTTTACACCTGAAGAAATAGGAGAACTCCCAGTTGAATACCTGTGAATTTGAGGAACTCTCTTCCATTCATGCTATTGATTTCCAACAAATTTCTTTCAGCTCAGTTTTGTTACCTTTACAGACTTTACTCTAATTCACCTAGCATGCTACATACTACTAACTTATATCAACACTTATATATCAAATTAAGCCATGATACATACAAAACCTGGTGAATGAAAGCATTTTTTTTTTTTTTTTTTTTTTTTTTGCAAAAAAAGTTTTGCCTAGCTTCCACTCAAAGTGTTTTATTAAGTCCTCCATTTCTCTATACATCCGTGTTTAGTTACACACTATGACTTAGTTAAGGTGTAGATTTTCCTTTCACATGAGACTGTTGAGGGGAAAAAAAGCAATTGTTGCATGTCCTGACCCTACCTCCCGACACCTTTTTTCAATGATTCTGTCAGACAGGAGTGAAAGATTGACTCATAATGGATATCTCTGGGTAAGATCTGGCTTCCAAACATACCGCATAAATAGACTCCTGCTAGCACCCTCTTTCAATCAAATTTTAAAGTCAAATGAAGGCAAGTAACCATAAAATTTGTCATAAAAGAAAACAGAGACTTTGGCGTACCAACAAGATAAGCATCGACTCCAACCATGTTACACCTCCTGTGTGAAACCTGCATGGTCGGCATATTTCCTACGTCTGCAGTCACTCCCCGTGTCCTACGGGTCCTCCACGAACTTGTGAAAAAATAGGGAATTTCGTGACAAATCAACATCATCTAGAGGAATGTGGATATCTTGAGTTCTTCTGTTATTTCTCGCAAGTTCAAAAACCAATAAAGATAAGAAGAGCCAAAGGAATAATCCAACTCAAATTCCAAAACTGAAAAGTAAACTGGGTACAGGTAATACACATAGTTAAGAAAAAGCATCACATATGTTCTTTTTGTCGTGTTATGCGATGGAAATATATGATAACAGATTAAAAAGTCATTGGTGCTATACACCTGTGGCATTAGATTTCCACTAAATATAGGTCGTAACAAAAACACAAGAGGCTAAATTAGTCAGAACACCATACATATTTCCCATATTTCTTCTCAAAACCACAATAATTTTCAAAGTGATGGCATACACGGACACACCCACGAGAAAAGGGAAAAAAAGATAGGCTTCCAGAAGGGAACTGAAGATGTGTTGTTAAATTTATCTTAATTTATTCTACTTTTTATCATAACAAGTTTTAACACAAAGAAATAATTCTCTATGATCAGACTAGACGATCAAAATTATCTTTGATATTAAAATACTTCACAAGAATGTCCCAGCAAAGAATACCGGGTCAAGGAACAATACTTAAAACCCTGCCTTTGAGCACTCAAGTAAATATGAAAAACTGCTTTTTCCCTGCGGCGACATCTTAATGAGCACAAAGAAGTCACCCATCTCCGACTCATCTCAAAGAAGACATCAAAGTCAGGTCATTACAAGAAAGACAAGATAGCACGCAGTACCGCCGCTCCTCCCTTTTTGGATAGCAAGCCACTTCAGTGGCGCTGTTGTCAAATTCCTCACCCTCCTCAAAGTTGCTTACAGGTATGACATCTGTACGTGTGACACAGAAGAAGCAGGGGAATAGCTGTTTGATGAAGGATGGAAAATGATGAGCACGGCCAAATTTATGGCCTGCTTCTGGAAATAAAACGGTGTCAAGCTTGCCGCCAGTGCCCCAGGCCAACCATCGGTGGCCATGACAAGGTGTTACTGATGAGCTGAACGAACAAAGTTGACTTTTTTTATTACCAGGTGGTAGAGTTCCCACAACCATGACTAACCTTAGTGAGACCCCTTTCAGGTAATAATTTTTGAAATGATGGGTTTCTCAGCATACTTGGGGAGCCAGTGGGTGGAGAGAGATTTCGTCATTGATTTCAAGATGTGGGTGACGACACCATGAAATTATGGTTTGATACCAGGAAACAGTTGTGTAATACTTCTCCCACTGGTAGTCACTGGTATGGCACGGAAATTATCATAAATCTCCCAACAGCCACAAATTTTCTTTAAAAACAATTTTTATCAAGGGGTATCTTTTATCAGCACAAAATCTTTTAGTGGTCAAATATTGCCAAATTATTTTCAAGATAACAAGGTAAACACTCCCTTTCTCATGTCTTGGTCAACAAAAATATCTCAAAACAACCCCTGTTATCATTACTGAATCAACACAAACATTTGTAAACATAAGCTTGTGAGAAAAATTATAGAAATGCAGGAGAGTAGTACCTCAGCTACAAACATTTATCAAAAATGCCCAAATAAAATAAAACTGACACCTTATTCTATATAACAACTGTCAACACCCCATCCCCCCCCCCCTCCACGAGTCTTGTTAAGAAAAAAAAAGGTTAATGGTATCATTTGCAAATCAGCTCAAACAAATCCCCAAACATCAACTTCTGTGAAAAGAGCAGAGATACACGATAGTGGTACCTTATCTACAAGTCTTCGTATGTATGAGCAAACATAACTGCAGCCTAAGTCTCCTAAATCCCTCAATTAATTTCACCTGCATCGTCTGATACTAAAAGAAAGAAGAAGACCTTTCCACACCTGACAAAACCAATGACTAATCACATCTGGCAAACAATCTGAAGAGGACTTCAAAGTTTTGCATTATCGGAAAATCAATGGGGATAAGAGTGGAAAATTCTCCATAAGACTTTGAAGCTGGGAGTTATCAAAGCATTTTGGCTTTTGTCGAGGTTTTTTTGTTATTATCTTCCTGAGATGTTTTTAATGGGTGCATACTTGAGAAACTACTTCAGTACTGTTCTTGGAGCTATTTCTACACCATTACCTCTGGCAACCCTGAGATTCACTATCTGCAGTGAAACAAAAATGATTCCATCTCTTCTGAAGATGTCAAATTTCTACATGCATTTATGAATCAGTTTAAAGTGAAGTGCCTAGGAGAGAATTAGTGCATCCCTTTTAGGTGTAAATACAGAGTAAGAATCACTGCATGATTTTATTTCATATTTTCAAAACTCAATTTGTCACAATTCTATGGAAAAAAAAACTGTGAAATATTTGCATGCAGTGGGATTCCCAGGTGCCATTCACACATCAAACTTGAACTTTTTGGCAATGCAAACCAGTACAAGCTCTCAGACATGACAGTGAACAGAGCCACTGGGGGAAAAGCCGTGACTGTTAATGAACTTCAAGTACCAGAGTGGGAGATAAGACAAACCAGAGCCTCCCTATGCTTCAACACGTGGAGCTGCCACTTGGACTTCCCCCAACCCGCTAACAAGGCTGCCGAGGCATTAAAAACATGCCATGAATAGTATCATCTCTGCCCTGCCTTTATCTTCACTTTTGCAGTAGACGACGGATCCAAAAATGGGCAATTTAATGCTACTGATATAACTGATACACGTTTCTAAATAAATATCCCATCTGTTTTCCCTGTGTTACAGAAATACAGAGAACTAAAAATTATGAGCAATGGCTTCAAGACTGAGGCAATAGCATTTTTCTTATTCAAACAACCACTGAATGTAGTTGAATAATTTGCATGGCCAAATCTATCCTCCATACCACACACTTGTACTAACTCCTTCAGTTTCTAATAAAATCTCCGAACATGGTGAATCAATCAAAATCAATAGGCATCCAATTTCCAATTAGTCTGACCACCAGACAGGCCAGGGTTATCAATGGCATATCTCCTGAGCTTAACAGTGGCTAATCAGTAGCAGGTTATTAGGAATCATCTTTCACATTAAGCTCCACTACACAGGATTTATCCCCATGGTACTGGAGCTTTTAATTGTTTCCTTTCTGTATAAATATACATTTATCAGTTTGACAGTTGATTGACACTTTATTATTGCATATCATGTTTGCCATTTCCTACATTTCTATAATTTGAAATATATACCATCACAGTCCTTTTCAAAGTCTAATAACCATCATATTGTGACAATTATGGACTTCAATACTATAAAGACCATATATCACAATTAACAATATATTTCATTAACTTCTTTCACTTTGAAAAAATAAACACCTGATAAAATCTCCATCCATTCATTTCATAATATACATACTTTGAAAAACAATCACACACAAAAAAAAGAAAGAAAAAAACTCATTTCCCCCTTATTTTTTTTCCTGGCCAATAGTTTAATTACATCCCATCGTATTCATTCCAGCATTGTTTTCCAGCAAATTATGCCGAGGTCTCCTGGTAGTTCTGGCTTGCCATGTGGCACACCAAGGCAGTGGTCAGACGGAATTAACTGATAGCGTCTTGACATGTCTATTACATGGGATGTCAGGGTCAGAAGGCCACTGATAAACCTGGCAAAATAATTGCTGGGGGAATGATGGCACTGATGGATGTATAATCACATGACATTCCTACATACTGTAAACTTTGTGTTGATGATAAAGGACTCTCTGAGTTGACTTATTATTATATATACTGAAAGGATAATGGATTTTAAAAAAATTCAGCTTTTGTTAGATGTTATGTGTAGAGGGACAGACATTTAGGAAGGGATAATGTGCGTT